GTCTGGTTGGCGGGGGACTAAAGGTCCCAACCGCTCCTTTTTTTCTTTCTTTTTTTTTTATTCTGGGCCAGCTTTAGCTCTGAGGCCTCGCTTCTGAAAACATTAATCCAATGTTGCGGTCCGGCTGGCTGAAGCCCAGCTGGATAAAGCCTGTTTCTAGGGTTTGTTTCGATTCTATATTTGCGACCTAGTTGCTTAGAGTTGCAGCTGAGAGGCCAGCAAGTTAGGCGGGGAATGTTGGAGTCCGCAGTCACTGGAGCAAGCAAGCCTCCCTGTTCGCTTCAGTGCATGGCTGCCGGCCACCATCTTGGCTGACAGTTAATTTGCATAAGGATATGCTGATTAGCCAATGGGAAGGGTATCGGTCGTACGCTAATTACCATGTTTCTCTTTTATTAGTGTAGATAGATTAAGCCTTCCAATATAAAGACAATATGTAACTCTCCCTTTATTTAGATATTTCTTGTTTTTTCAGGTTTTTATTTTTTAATTTTTAAAATTAAAATTTTTCTTTATTTGAATTTATTTTTCCTCATCACCATTTATTCCCCTCATGCCCTCTTCCATCTCTTCACAATCACCACAACAATCCTTTCTAATTTTCAGTGTTAGGTTTTTTGCATTATTAAATTTTTTTATTTTAATTTAGATTATAGGTTTATTTACAAGTATTTCGGCTTTTTGCATTATTAAATTTTAATTTTATATTGTTCCCTGCTAACATACAGAAATACAATTAAGAGTTTTATACTTTTTTCTTTAGCAATAATTTTTTCTTTTCATTCTTGCGTCACATTACTGGCTAATACTATCTTAATGAAATGTTGGTAAAATGTGGTAAGAGCAGACATGTTTAACTTGTTCCAGACTTTTGGGGGAAATACTTCAGCTTTTAATTCTTAAATATGTTGTTAGTCATAGGTTTCATGCAGATGTCCTTTATCTACAGGAGAGGATTCCCTTTAGTTTGTGGAGGTTTGTTTTTTGTTTTTTTAATGGGAATTGCATTTTCTCTTTTTGCATCCAGGCTGGGCTGAGGGAACCCCCCTCCATGCATGAATTTCGTGCACTGGACCTCTAATATATATATATATATATACACATACATACATACATATATATATATATACACATACATACATACATATATATATATATTAATTTTAAGTATAGTATTATAGTGAATAACACTGATTAACCTTCAAGTCTTAACCAACTTTACATTCTTGGACGAGCCCTATTTGGTTATGATGTACTGTCATTTTCATATATTTATGGATTTGGTTTGCCGACAATTTTAAAGGATTTTTGCATGTTTATCCATGAGAGGATGTTGATCTGTAGTTTTCTTCTAGTATGTTTGATACTGGTATCAAAATAGTTGTTAGGAATGGAAATATGTTCTCCCAAAATTCATATGAAGTCCTAATCTCAATGTGACTACCTTTAAAGAAGTTATTAAGGATAAATAACTTCTTAATGGCAGGGGCATAATCTAATAGGACTAGTGTCCTTATAAGAAGAGGAAAAGACATGGTGGGTGTGTGTGCACAAGGGAAAGGCCACATGAGAAACAACCATCTAAAAGCCAACACAGGGGAGTTTTACCTAACATTCAAAGAACTAAAACCTATCTCTTAGACTAGACTATTCGAAAAAATACAAGAGGAAGGCACACTTCCAAGCTCTTTCTTTGAGGCCAGCATTATCCTAATCCCAAAACCAGATAAAGACATTACAAAGAAAGAGAATTACAGGCCAAAATCCATGATGAACATAGATGCTAACATCCTCAACAAAATTCTAGCAAATCGGACCCAGCATTACATTAGAAAGATCATACACCACGACTAAGTGAGATTTATTCTGAGGATGCAATATCCACAAATCAATAAATGTCATAAATCACATAAACAAATTGAGAAACAAAAATCACATAATCATATCAATTGATGCAGAAAAAGCATTTGACAAAATCCAACATCCTTTCTTGATAAAAACTGTCAGCAAAGTGGGAATAGAGGGATCATACCTCAACATAATAAAAGCCTTATATGATAAACATACAGCCAACATCATACTCAATGGGCAAAAACTAAAACCATTTGCCCTACCAATCAGAACAAGTCAGGATACCCACTTTTACTACTCCTATTCGACATAGTACTGGAAGTGCTAGCCATAGTGATCAGACAAGAAGAAGAAATAAAAGGCATCTAAATTGGAAAAGAAGAAGTAAAACTGTTGCTTTCACAGATGACATGATATTGTACATAGGAAACCCTAAAGACTCCATAAAAAAACAAAACTAGACTTAATAAATGAATTTGGCAATGCAGAAGGTTACAAAATTAACACCCAGAAATCTATGGCCTTTTTATACACCAATAATGAACTCACAGAAAAAGTAACTATAAAAACAATCCCATTTACTATTGCAACAAAAAACAATAAGATACCTAGGAATAAACTTAACTAAGGACCTGTACTTGGAAAACTACAGGACATTGAAAAAAGAGATAGAAGAAGACATAAACAAATGGAAGAATATACTGTGTTCATGGATTGGTAGAATCATCTAGTATAAAGGTTAAAGGACAAAAGTATAAACACAGGTATAATTTGTTAATGGATACACAATATAAAATGATGTAAATTGTGACATCATAAATATAATCTGTTATCAGGTTAAAATAGTCTGTTATGTCTATAAGATGTTTCAAGTAAGCTTCAGGGTAACCATAAAACAGAAACCTATAGTAGATACACATAATCCAATGAGAAGGTAATCCAAGTATACCACTATGGAAAATCATCAATTGAAAAGGAAGACATCAAGAGAGGAAGATAGGAACTACCAAACAGACACAAAACAGTTAACAAGGTGACAGTAGTAAGTCCTTAACAATCCTTAATTATTTTAAATTTAAGTGGATTAGTTATGCCAATCTAAAGGCATAATGTGACTGAATGAATTTTTTTTTAAAGAACCAATTATATTACTGCCTACAAAATACTCACTTTAGTTTCCAGGTCACACATAGCCTCAAAGTGAAGGGATTAAAAAAAAAAAAAAAAAAGAAAGAAAGAAAGAAAAGAATAACTCATAGACACAGACAACAATATGATGATTACCAGAGAGAAAAAGGGTGGGATGAGGTAGAAGAGGGAAAAGGAGGGATAAGAGGTGATGGAATAAGACTTGACTTGGAGTGGTGAACACAAAATACAATATACGGATGTTGTACTATAGAATTGTACTCCTGAAACCTATATAATTTTATTAACCAATGTTACCCCAATAAATTCATAAAAATTTGCAACCAATAAATAAATAATCAAGGTCTCTTCGTTGAGTGGAAATAGGAATCAGAAACTCATATAAACAGATAACTTTCTGGACAGATTTCTAGATTAAACCAAGTTCTTTCTGTGTAGAGTCAATTATAGAAATGTCCCCAGTAATTACTTATTTGACCTGAAGAGGGCACTGCTTGTATTAGTTGACAGGAGCTGCAAAGGATTCTCAGGTTCAAGAAGACAGCTCTGACATGCACCTCTTTGTTCATAGCAGTGCAATTTACAATTGCTAAGATTTAGAAACAGCCTAAGTGCCCATCAGCGGATGAGTGGATTAAAAAACAGTGGTACATCTACACAATACTACCTGCTATAAAAAAGAAAGAACTCTAACCATTAGCATCAGCATGGGTGGACCTAGAGAGTATTATGCTAAGCGAAATAAGCCAGTAGGAGAAAGAGAAATATCATATGATCTCACCCATTTGTGGAATATAATAAACAACATAAACTGGTGAATAAAACTAGATCCAGAGACACAGAAGTATCAAGCAGACTGTCAAACCTCAGAGGGAAGGAAGAGGGTGGAAGGGTGGTGGTAAAAGATCAACCAAAGGACTTGTATGCATGCATATATGCATAACCAATGGACACAGACACTAGCGGGGTGAGGGCCTGTGCTGGAGTTGGGAGTGGCCAGGGAGAGGTCAATGGTGGAAAAAGGAGACATTTGCAATACTTTAAACGATAAAGAATTTAAATTAAAAAAATAAGTAAAAGACAAGGATAAATTCCTCAGGAGAAACCAAACCTCCCGGCACCTTGATCTTGCATTTCCAACCTTCAGAACTGTAGTCTTTCATTGACATTTCTTAATATATATATATTTATAAAAATGTATATGTTATAATAGTTTATAATTTCTATTTGATTTCCTTTTAAACACATGCAAGAATGTACTTTTTAGTGTTCAAAGTATTTGTTTACTATATTTTTATTGATTTAGTAATATGCTGTTACAACATTTCTAAATTATAATATTTAAGGCTGCCATGATACGGGAAACAGTACTCTGAATGCTCAATTCTAAGATCAGAGAAAAATCTCTCTCTGGGCTTCTATCTGGAAGATTCTGTGCAGAAGAATTAACAGGGTAATTGGCAACACTCTTGTAATACAACCAGCAATGGGTTTTGTAGAGATGACTCATATTATGTTTTTCAATAAAGACTATAACGACTTTCTATATACATTTACATATTGCTAATTTATTCATTAGTAATAATACAAAACATTATTTAAGTATGTGAGACCTATGTAACATTTTTTATCTAAGAAGTAGACTCTGAAACAGAATTCTTCAATAGATTACAATGCATACTTTCTGTAGGTTGTATATATTTAGGACTTACCTAAAGAATATGTTCTTGAATAATATAGAAGTAGGAACAAAGGGACTCCTCAAAAATAAATTTCCTGAGGATAATCCTAGAAGAAGGGTCATGTTTGCTATGTTAGTTTTTCAAAGAAGGGAGAAAAGTGATTATAACCTAGGAGATAAAGATGAAATAAATCTAAAATAGGAAAGGTAGGTGTAAATTCCCTTCACACAGCTTGACTTTTCTCATTCAGACTCAGTCTTCCTTTCTGTGTAACCCTTTGCATTTGATCAATTCTTTCCTTCTCTTTGTTCAGGAAAAGGTCAGCAGGAAGATGACTCTACCACGGAAGACCTGAATTCCTGGACGCATTTGCCCTCATCCAGTCAGGAAACGGCACATAGATCAGTGACTAATGAGGTAAAACTAGAAAAAGAGGCACCTCTGATAATTAATTGTGGCCGGTACCCCAAATCACTGACTAAGCTCGCTAAGAGATGGGTTTGAAAGAGTGGGACTTTTTCAAACTCTAAAGAAAACTCTTTTTAGATGCTGTCCTGGAAATTTTATTTATTTGGGTATCTCATTTTGTTAGTAACAGATACAAAATAAATTTCACATAAAATTTGAAGCAACTTTAAATATATTGATGATGAAATTTTAATTGATAGAGAAAGTGTGGCACAGTGTCTCCAATCTATGGTGGTAAAAAATCTGGGACAAAAACTCTCACCTTGATATATTACCTTCCTTGTGGAGATACCACCAGGTTTAGAGTAAAAATAGGAAAATTTTCATCTTGTGGGTGCCTTGCAATTTTCTCTCATCTCATCTACTGGAGCTTTAGGTCTTCCATCATGGTGCGGTCCTCATAGTCACTTCTTGTAAATTCCAGCATGAATAGAGATAAAAATCAGTATCAAGAATAAGCACTGCTTCCCTTACTTTCCAATTGGCTGCCGCCTCCACTCAGGGATGACAGTTGTGCTGCTTCTTTGAAAAACAACTTTGAAGATTGGTAGATTTCTGTGTGACATGTCAGGTGGCCTTATCAATGGCACCAGTGCATCTCTGATCAGCAGTGTCTGACTCTTAGTGTGCTGCTGGGCTGTCAGCCCACTGTTGATACTTTTCTCTGATCTGAATGGCAATTTGGAAGTGAATAATTTCACAGAATATCCTGAGTAGATCCTTTGTATAACTGCAATCTACAACTGAGTATATTTTATTTATTTATTTATTCATTCATTCATTCATTCATTCTTTTTACTTGACTTATCTAAAGTGAGTTTTGATATACTTTAAAGTTTCATTTTAGAAAAGAGATCTTAGTACACTTCTGCATGGCTTTCAGAGTATGTTGGGAAAGTCAGCTGATTTTTTTAAATCAGAATTTATTTGCTTTTTAAATATTTCACAAAGAATGAAATAGCCACTTGATGGCCTTTCAATTGTGATGATGTTCCTAGGAATTGTATAGATGTGTAGATGTTAAATTTGGAAGGTAGACTAAGATTTTTTATTTATTTTAGAGTGAAGGAACTAAGTCCTAGAGAGAACTGAAATGATTCATCTGTGACATACAGCTCTTCGTTACGGAGAAAAGCCTAGAAACCAGGCTACTATCTTATAGAATTACCTTGTTTTCATAAAATCCTTGGCATATGCAGTGCAGAAAAGCTAACTTAGCCTGCTCAGAAACATTTGTCTAGCCTTTTCTCTAATTTGACATTAATTTGATTTGGTGAACAATCTATGAGAAGATCTGGCATCTTGTGCCTTCTTGACATTGTTATTAGCCAAGTCACATGTCATTCATCAGACGTATTAGAGTCCTAATGAGCCTTCAGTCTGAACTGCAGCCATCTGGAGCAGTTTGCTTCTTTGATAAGTGTACTCAAGTTGATTTGAAGCATGACTTGAAATAAGTCTCGGGTTTAAATTGTGTTAGGACTTCTTACTCAGGTAATGTCACTTTCTTTGAGTAAATGACTTGTATGCAAATGCCTTTTTAAATGTGCTGTGCTGGAGATGGGAGGGATCCTGTTGATGTGATAGCAACCACCTCACTTATCCTCTATCTCATCACATTAACAATTTCCACATTTCTGTTTTAATTATTCGGAAATTAATTTTTAGGGATTTGTTTTATGAACTACTATTAATAAACTAGTTTTCAGGACTAAGTTAACTCTATAGAACTCATTTAATTTATTAGTCACCCATATAGTTTAATGAAAAGAAATCCTTGGGAAACATTTTTCCTTGATATTTTAAAGTAAAATGAGGAAAATACACAAAACAACACTAAGAAAAGAGAGCTGTTGTAACTATAGTAATAGCAGACAAAGAGACAAAAGCAAAAAGCATTAGGCATTAAGAGGTCACTATGTAATACTGGAAGGGTTAGTTCACAAGGAAGATATAAAACTCTAAATTTATAAACACCGAATTACAGCTTCAGGATATATAAATTAATATTTGACAGAACTACAAGGAGAAATAATTAATAACTTTACTATGATAGTAGACCATTAAAAATATATATCCTATCAATAGATTAGACAATTAGTTAAGAGTGTAGAAATTACCAAAAAACAATTAGCAAACTAGGTATAATAAACATAAATAAAACTAGTTTTTAAAATTAAAGAACACACATTCTTTTTTTTTTTAAATATATTCCATTTATTTCTTTACAGAGAGGAAGGGAGAGGGACAGAGAGCCAGAAACATCGATGAGAGAGAAACATCGACCAGCTGCCTCCTGCACACCCTCCAATGGGGATGTGCCCACAACCAAGGCACATGCCCTTGACCGGAATCGAACCTGGGACCCCTCAGCCCACAGGCCGACGCTCTATCCACTGAGCCAAACCGGCCAGGGCCACACATTCTTTTTAAGCATACAAAAATTTATCAGATATCAAATCAAAATATCTCTCAGCAAATGTCAAATAATCTTATAGTACTGACTGTGGTCTCTGACATAAAGAAACTCAGTAAGAAGTCAACCACAAAAGGGTAAAATGTACATTTAAAATTTAAAGAGACATACTTCTAAACTCATGGGTCAAAGAAGAAATTACAAAGGATTTATAAAACATTTAGAATAGAATAAATACAAAATTATATGAAAACTTGTTTGCTCATTCATTATGCAGTGGTTAGCAAATATAATGGTATAATCTATATCATTACATTTACAATGGCACCAGGTAGTAAGTATATAGGAGTAAATATAAGGAAAGTTGAGAATTGCTATTGAGAATGTCATAAAATATTATAATAGCTATATCACATAATGGATAATAAGACTTAATATAATAAAGATAATAGGTATCCTCAATTTAAACAATAATTTTATAATTTCAAAGCTTGTGTTGTGTGTTTGTGTGTGTGCATGTGATTTGATTGGCTGATTTAAAAACTTGGAAAAACATAAGACCAAGATTAGGTAAGACAGTATTAAGTAAGAAAGGAAAAGTGTGTATATGGTAGGAATGCTGGGTAGTTGTCTATATCTTTCCATTAATGTGCTTAGTTTTAAAATCTCTTTTGTTGGGTTCATGTTCTGGAATGATGGTTGTATACATGCCCACAAGAGGTATTCCAGGACTAGGAAGTTTTATGGAATCAATCAAAACACATACACCTGCAAGAGGGGAAAAGATTAATATGTTTTACAAAAATAAAAGTCACCAAATAACACTTCAAAAAGATGAAAAGACAGAACACAGGCTGTGGCTGGATATGCTGCATGAGAAATAGAGAGACATGAGGTGAGGGTGGGAAATTAGGCAGCGTCCGTACCAGGGAAGGCTGCCTGGAAGCTGGGCCTGCTCCTTCTGCTCAGGATGCTTCTTTGCGTTGCCCTTCCTGGTATTTTTTAGGTACATGGCTATTGTGTATCACCATCATACTCTGTCACTGCATTAACACTTATCACCAGCTGTAATTTTACATGCTTGCTTGTGTATTTCCTCTCTCCCCATGGGAATACGTAGCTCCACAGGGCAGGACACAAGCCTCTGTTGTTCAGTGTTTCATCGGGAGCATTTAGAACAGTGTATTCACATCATAGGGCCCCAGAAAAGAATAGTCAAATGAATAGATTAATTGAAACAGAATTGAGAGCCAAAATATTGATTACTGAATCTTAATTTTAATGACTTTTACCCTTCCATTATATTCAGTTCTATTTACTGGTGGGCTAGGTACTGTACCGGAGGCTGCGAATGCTACAAGTGGCCTAAGGACCATCAGGCAGTACTAACTCTCATGGCAGAGACATGCTTAGAATTACTGTATTAGATTACGCAAGTTCTAAAATAAAGATAAATATAATGTTGGGAATTTTATATTTACAATAAACTCAACACTCATTGTAAGAATTTCTGGGCTGAAGTCATAATCTTTTTTTTTTTTTTAAAGAAAAATGAAGCTTAACCCTGGCTAGTGTGGCTCAGTTGGTTGAGCATCACCCCGTGCACCCAGAGGTTGCTGGTTTAATTCTTCATCAGGGCACTTGCCCAGGTTGTGGGTGGTGTTGTTCAGGAGGCAGCCGATTGATGTTTCTCTCTCGTTGTTTCTCTCTCTCCCTTTCTCTCTCTCTCTAAAAAAATCAATGAAAAAATACTATTTAAAAAGAAAGAAAATAAATATGAACTTATTTTTTACTTACTTTGGAAAATAACTTGGGTGATTCAATAAAAATCACTTGTATATGCGTAGTACTCTATAGTCTGTCTTGACAGATTGGAAAATATTTACTAGGGAGAGACACATTTCAAGTGATTTTCTAGGAGTAAAAATCATGTGATTATGGTTTGATTCTATTATTTAAGATCTTATTTTTAAAAATATTTAAAATTTTTAAAATTATAGTTGACATACAATATTAAATTAGTGTTTCAGGTGTACAACATAGTGATTAGACATTTATATACATCACAAAGTGATCACCATGGTGTCACCATCTGACACCATGCATAGTTATTACTATATTACTGACTGTATATCCTATGCTATACTTTTCATTCCTGACTGTTCGTATAAAAGTCAATTTGTACTTCTTGTTGTATTTTAAGAAGCTACAGAAGTCATATTTTGAAACTACACATTTTTGAAATCTTAGCCATAATTTTTTATTTTTCTTATTCCTATAGGTTTTTACAAATCAAATTAACTTAGATAAGGTACTATTCTCTTTTTCGGATTACAAACGTAGTGATTTCGTGGATCTTTTTCAAGAACCTACAGAAAGGTATGACTAATGAGCTTATTTAGTTTTCTGTTTATGCCTGTTAATAGCTATAACTCCTCTGAGTGGAGATAGTGAATCATGGCTCTCAAATGTTTGGTATATTTCAAGATATAGCTTTTTGTAATAAGTACAAGCTGATTTGACTAGGAATAGA